AATCTTACAGCACCTGGTATTTCAAAGCAGTAACCCATCTAGGTACTGAATAATCTCAATATTTCTTAACTTCAGTAATTGTATGAGAACCAGTGCTTCAACATGATATGGCCGTATAGAGATACTAAGGGCAATTATCTCCCATTGGTTGAGATAAATCACATGGGTCATGTGATGGTCATATACAGTGACAACAGTGGTCAGTGCTTCAGTCAATTTCCATGAGTCACACCAAGTAGTTTTTAGAATAAGTGAGGCAAGATGGAGGATAAATCTACTTCCCCCCAGCCTGCTCAAATATGGAATCTTAAATATGACTTCTCCAGAAACATAGTAGATTCTCCAGGAGTTCCAGTTGAGAATTATTGTTTGTCGTTTATTTTCCTTTCAGCCATTCCATTCCATCCTTGGAATAAGCTATTATATCATGGATATAATAATGCCCATAATGGGGGAAATGAAAACTGGAAGAATATTCCTTTCTTCCATAGCTCATCCATTGGCTGTAAGCCATATAGATAAGGAATGTACAGTTTGGTGGTAAGTAAACTATATACACATTCTTATATAACAATTCAACTCTAGGACAGATCAAATAGTTGTCCATGATAAGAATTTTGTAGCTTTCCATTCAGCTTACAAATATGTAATGTGCTCATAATTTAACCTAAATTAAAAGAGCTATCAAACTATCAGTTGCTTCAAGATTGGTTGTCTAGATGGATTTGATGAAGTATTATCAATTTATTCTCAGTAAATTATACACATTTCATATCTTAAAGCATTCAAACTCTCATAAAACTTATATAAAAACAAATATTTCTTATATTAAATTTTTTGTTGTCTCAGCAGGTTCACTAGATTTTACCATATTTAAGATATACTTCATGAAAAGTGAGTTATATTTAGTCGGAAGAGACTGCAGTATTCTTTGGTCTGGTAGTTCTTAGCTTGGCTTCTGTGTGGTCCATGATCAGTGATCTTACATTCTTGTTGGGGACAGATCTTGTTTCCAATTTGCTTGCTAGACTATGATGTCTGTATTTAACAACATAATAAAAATGCTTCTCTTTAAAAATTGAGTTATGACAAAAATCTACCAACCATAAAAGGTTATTACAGTGGACCTCAAAAGTTAGTTGGCTAGTCACTCAGCAACTACCCTTAATTGTCCCAGGATACAGATCTGGGTTTTACAAGAAAGGGATGATTATCTTCTTTACATTGGGCAGCATGCATGCTAGTGATATGGATTAATGTTTCACACCCACTTTTCAGGTCCCTTTCTTTTCTGAGGTGTTTCAAGTTCATGAGGTGTCTCTTGGCATTTTTTGTTTGGTCACTTTCTTTGCTACCTCAGGACAGAGTTATTTACAGATTGTGATTTGTAAATTGTAAACTACAGCTGATCTAAAAAAAATGACCTACAATCTGTTGTTAACTGCAGCTAGGAAAGTTGATTCACTGTGTCGTGCTAGACAATGTTTCTCGCCAGAATCTATTTTATATATTTTTAAGTCTACCATTTGCCCTTTAAATATTGCTGCCACATATGGTCTAGTGCTTCTGCTATTTATTTAGTGATTCTTGATAAAAGACAAAGAAGAATGTGCAATGTTATTGGTTCTGACCTGGCATCTCAGCTTCAGTCATTTTTCCACTGCCATAACATAGCTTCCCTGTGCTTTTTCTATAAATACTTTCATGGTAATTGTTTTGATGAACTTTCCTCTATGGTACCTAGACTTTATGAATTTAAGTGTAGTACTAGATTGGTGACAAGGTGTCATCATTTTACAGATGAAATGGCCGCTAGATGTAACCGTAAGTTCTAGGCTAACAGTTTCTTCTTTCACACTTCTCGCTTGTAGAACTCTCTTCCAGCTTCTTGTTCCCCAGTTGACTTTAATCTTCAAAAAGAAACTTGATAAACATGTCTGAAGAATATTGGTCTACTCTTCTCTTCTAGAAAAAAAGAAAATGCTGATGCTTGAGCACAAACATTCACTCCTCATGCAGATGAAGTAGAGTTAGCTGGTAAAGAATCAGAAAAAAGTTGTACATGCAGCCCATATCGACTTTAATTTTAATGGTATCTTTTTTTCAAAGCCAAGCCTTAATCACCTTTTTTGCTAGTAACTCTGACCATTTTTTCTCCAGATAAAGATCAGATCAAAATCACCCTTGAAGACTGCAGACAGGTCAGTTTATCCAGACGAAGGGACCTAGAATGAATTTTTCTTTCCAGGCATCTAATCACAAACCAAAAGACTTGATGTGGTTAACCTTGGCCCATCACCATTTTGTACTTTTCATGGCTTTGCAGCAACTTAATGTTGCAATGGCAGCTTCACCATTAACAATAAAATGTGGAAGTAAAAAAACATCAAATAAAAAAAGAATATGGTTGAGATAAGTAAAAGTTTTTTTTTTATTTCTTGTGCTTTGCAAGGTTCCATCACTCCCTCATTTCAGGGTGTTGTACATCAATCACAGGAGAATGAGAGTTCATTTGGGGTATAGCATAAGGTAGTAGTTGAGATAGATACATGAAAAAATATCAATATGCATATGTAGTCAAGTGAGATAAAAACATGATAGAAATATTAATATTCATATGTAGATGAGTGAGATAGACTCACAAAACTTGTAAAGCATGTCAGATCTAACAGTGGTTTCTCCTGCTAGGAGGACACAGGTTCGAATCCTGATGGAGAGTGTATCATTTTTTTAATAAGATTTCTCGAATATTCAGCATAAATATATTGTTTAATAAATAAACAGAGTGTCTACTGAAATATGAATATCCAATAAAAACAATGTTTAAGTGATAAAATCTATTGGGAGTTAATTTCTGCCACTGTTGGTTTTGTCACTGGCCAAAGGCATCACTATTAATGGAAGCACCTTGGTTTTCCTGCTGATAGCCTGGCCAGTTGTAAAGTCTCCCAGGTCAAGGGGTCCATTGCTAATGTCAACCAGGTTCGATCTACCTCTGTGGGTGAAAACAATGTGGCCCTTTATAGTCAGTCAGTGGTTCTGAATGGCTGCTGTGAGAAACCATGTGGGTCATAGACCATCTTTTCTGACCAATATTTTCTGGTTGGTCAGAAAATATGGTTTATGACTTTGGTATTTTTAGATGTTATTCCAAAAATTAGGTGTGCTGAACCAAATGAAATTATGGTCTTTTTTATGATATCAGTCATAGATGTCAAAGCAAGCACTTCCATTTAAGTTCTGACAGTGTATGAGAATATCATTACAGAAAAACACAAAGATGGTAATATTAGTGATCTTGTGGCGTGTCTCAAACAAACGTTGGGATTACCAATGAAATGTAGCGGCCTTATACCACATTTATTTAATTTTGTTTAGGAACCCAAGCTGATGTAAAAAAAGGGACAATGTAAAGGTACTAATATATATAAATTGTATTCAACAAAGCATAAAATAAAGAATGTATACAAAAAAACATGCAATGAGTAAGATGAGAGTTGTCTCTCTTTGACTATCAAAGTCTATCAAAGTTGTCTGAAAAAGAAATGAAAGAGTCATTAGTCTGTTATAAATGTTTTTTAAACAGTTCTGCTGTCCAAGAAGAAAATTATGTAAGTGTGATAGAATATGCAGCTTTAGAGTTGAGTGAGAAGATGGGCGCATATCTTCAACTGACGTAGATTTCTGTGGCAGCTGAAGTTTCACTGCGGGTCTCCTCTTTTCCTATGCTTATATAGGTGGTCATTGAATTAGGAGTGCTGCGCAGGGAAAATCATTCTCCACATGCAGAGAATCTGATTGGTTGATACTGACCAATCAGTGTATGAGTTTCGGGCCAATTCTCCCAAAAGTGCACAAAATCTACTATATGAAAATATAGTGATTTTAAAATTGTCACTTCAGATAGCAGTGTTGCTTCCTGTCCACTGAATGAATGCTGTTGAACATTTGAATTTGTAAGGGTGTATGTGTGGGTGGTGATGATCGCCATAGTCTATACAGACATTTTGGCTCAAGCACTTTAAATATTTGCTGCACATGGCTGACATTAGCTCATCCTCTCTTACACAAGAATGGTTCCAGTGTTAACTAGTGACAACAAAAAGCAACACTACTCTACTGGTGTTGAGGTCTGTAAGAATGCTGAGAATGGTACTAGAGATTTGAGGTAATTTACTGTCACAGTCACTCAATCTCCAATAAGGTTGTCTCATAAAATGCATGATTGTCCTCCATTTTGATGCTGAAGGATGTGCTTTTGAGAATTGATGATTCTTTTGAAAAATTATGCATAAATTTTGCTTTTTTTTTTTCACTTTCACTTTCACAATTCCTATTGCACAAAAAGATTAAATTCAGCCTTCTGTGTCTGTGGACACCTGGCTGGGAACCTATTTCTAAAGGAGACTGCACAACCCATAGTTGGGAAACTATCCATAGCAATAAACACTAGACATCTGGTGTGAGCATGCAAAATGTATAAATAAAAAAAAGGTAACAGAAAAGTTTGATTTTTTTTTTAAAAAGCAAAGAACTTTCGTTTACTTGACAAGTCTTATTTTATTTGAACAAGTTTAAATTAAAATGTATTGTTAATGGTAAAATTAATTTTATTTTTTGTCAAAAAAGACAATGTTGATATTGTCCATCCACCCGTGGGAAAATTTTTTACAAATATTCTACTAAAAAGTAAACACTACTTATGCATCTAGTTTGAAAAATGTATTCTATTCTTTCTTTAATTTTGAATTTAATAATAGGCAATGAAAGAGGAGATAATACTGATAGTGTTTTTGTTTGTTTGTTTTTTTTTACATCAACAACTACTACTACCAGCCATTCCTACTCTTACTCCCACTAAGTTTAATTAGCGGGTAAATTGAAATATGCCGGTTCTACCGGAAGTAGCCGTCTACATCTTCGTGCCGGTTCTATCGGAAGTGTTTATCTTTAGTTTTATACTTCAGACATTGGAGAGTTCTAATAACAGAAATAAAATCATGGCAGGGAACTTTTGGCAAAGTTCTCATTAGTAAGTTGAATATTATGCCTTTTCTGTCGCTATGTTGATTATTTATTTATTTCAGAACAATATTTATTTTCGGGTTTTTATTGCATGTGAATAATTGTTCGGTTAATGTGAAAGAAAATATTAGTAATTATTGTGCAAATTTCAGTCAAATTTTTACACCCCAAACAAAAACATCGATACGCTTAATAAATATATATAATTAAGGAAATATAATTGGTGCTTTGTTTTGATCCTAATATGTATTTTCCACTGTAGTTCTTTTTAGCAATTGATGTGAAAGTGAATTCTTGTGTTTAAATATTAAATTGAAATCTTTCAAATGAATCGGCCATCTTTGTTTAAAAAACCTTAGAAAGATGTCAAGCAAAAGTTAAAATATTGAATCATTGTTTTTATTTATTGGCGGATATTTAATTTTTGTCATATGAACTGATTGCATAAAAAATGTGTGATCGTAATGATATATTCTCATTTAATAGGTAGTTTGGGAGCGCATTGTATGTTTTTGTTTCTGATTGATTGTTCGAAGATCGAATTTCTTTCTAACTCTCTCGCACTTTTTTAAAAGAAAGTGTTTCTTCTGTTTTCTAAAAAAATAATGAAAATATTAACTCTAATTTTCTTTAAGACTTTGATTTTAGTTTCATTTGCTATTTCGATATACACTACTACAATACGTTATTACAAGTACCTTTAACGATTAAAAATACCTTAAGCTAGGAATCAATATTTTTTACTTAAAAATTTTTATACAATCTTTTTAGTTACTACAATAACAATTCTTGGTTTGACCTGTCGACTAAAAGTACATTAATACTTCCCACATAATGGTAAGATATGAGTGGCAATAGTGTCTCCATCGAGCTACCGTTATGTGGGAGGTATTTCTGCCGCATTCTGTGTAGCTCTAGCAAAAGAACTACTAGAGAATTTAAAAATACCAAAAATTAAAATTAAAATTCTAAGTTGTTTTTTTTTTAATCCAGGAAAATAAATTTCTAAAATCCGTTTAAAAAGGTACCTCCACAGATTTGCAATACCTAATGTTTTAAAATTAATTTTTAAAACTTAAAAATCTTTCTTGAAGTTTTTTATTTTAGTTTTAATAAAATTTCAAGCTAAAAGATTAAATTTAATATTTCCAACAAGAAAAATACTTTGCTGTATTTCAATACTAATTTAAATTGACTTTTGAATTTTTTTTATTTTAGTGCTATTTTTAGCGATCTGTGTTATCATAATGTAATTCTCTTTATTAAAAATCTTCCAAAAATAAAATATACTTTTCTGAAATTTTGTTTGAGGAATATCAGTAGATTTGAAACAAATATTATTTACTTTATTTAAAATATTGTAGAAATGCATTATTTAACACAACAGTAGCTGTTTATTTAAGGTGTAGATGTGCTGACAGCATGATGACGGATGTTTATTGAATGTTGTTCTATTGGGGGGGGGGCTTTAGTTGTAAAACTTAAATGAAGAAAATAACATGAGTGTCTTTTTTATATAATTTTTAAGTACTTAGTAATCTTAAAAATTTAGGAAAATATTATCCATAATTTGTTTTTATTGAATTTTAGACACTTTGGCTTTAATTTCACAATAGTTATTGCTCTTATTTTCTGCCAATGTCATGTATGAACACCTCTATCTACAAAAATCGGCATGTTTATACACATACAAGAAAAAAAAGTTCAAAATTCTTTTTAAAATATTGGGGTTTGATGATTTGCACTAAGTTTTCCCATTTATGCTTAGCTTAGTAAATATAGTTTTTACTTAATAATATCATTGAAAAGGGGTGAAATTAATACAAAATTTCAAAAGATTTTTGAAGTTTATAAATTATTCTATTTAAAAAAAATTTTTTAAAAATTCATTATTCATCAAAAATTTTTTTATTATGACAGTGTCCTTATAAAAGCAATTAAAAGCTTTTCTAATGAAATAAGGTTTTGGTTTTATTGCATTTTTTTATTTATGATTCAGAACAGATTTTCAGTAAATGGCAATTCTGTTTTTTTACAAAATATATTGATGATTTAAATTCACCAAAGAATTCAAGGGAGTGAAATTTAATTTTTCAAAAGTTTATTTTAATTATTTTTTAAAATTTTACCTTCTTTTTAAAACATTCTAAATTTTGATTAAAAAAACCTTGTTTCTCTTTGTATCACTGGAACTAGTAAAATAACATATACAATTTTTAGCACGTTTTTTTTGTGTGACACATTAAGTTGGAAAATCTTGCAAAAATAGAAATAATTGTCAGATGTTAAGGAAACTTTCAGAAACTATTCACAGATGATCGAAATTATTATAAATATGTTTTTTTATTAAAGTCATGGCAGAAATACTTTTTTAATATTTATTACCCCCCCCCAACTAATTTTATGAAAACGCTAGAAATTCGATTAGGTTTAGTGATTACAATAGTTAAAAGCACAAGGATTTGAGGAATGCAAATCTTGTTTTTTTTGTTTTCAATTGGACCCCTCTACCTGAAAATCAGCTCTGAATTGTAACATACAAAACTCAATAAAACAAAGATATTATTTAATTTCAAATGCTTTTATTTGCTTTTATGAATATGGACAATATTTTCTGAAAGCAAAAAATTTTTTCGATGAAAAATGAATTTTTAACACATTTATTTGTTATTTTCTAATTATAATAGATTTTTACATTTAAGTTGTTAAAATATTTTAAAATTAGTTAAAAGCCGCATCGGGTTTCCTAAGTGTCCTTATGCGATAGATCTTTTTTTTAGCGCGTTGTAAATTGTATTGTTTTGACTAATCAGAAAACCCGCAGTAATTAAGAAATGTAATTTTGTGTTTATAATCGGGCTGTAATTATAAAGTACGGAAGACCAACCAGTTAATTAAGTTGTGTTATTTGAATTAAGCATTGTTTTCCTCTGTTAAGGCCTTTACTTTTGCGAAACACATGTGGAGAAGTTAATTTGATTTTTCAGTTTCAACTGAGAAGGGTACCTACAAGTATCAGTATCATCTTATGAAATTTATATGATCTTATTTTTATATTAATCTCAGTTATGACATTTTCCATAAATGAAATATCAAAATTAATGGAAATACAAATAACACAGTAAAATGTAATAAATGTACATAAAATTATAGTATTTTATGTACATTTCTGATAAAATTTCATAAGAAAGGTACCTATAAATTAATTAGATACCTTTCTTATGAAATATGAAATTTAATCTCACTCTTAACAGTCTTATTTTAATTTCTTTATAATATATTTTCCATAAAGCATAGTAAACGTAAAGGTGAAAGCTAAGTACAAAAAACAAAAAAAAAATCGAAACGCTGAAAGTTTTCCTTAAAAATAACGAGGTAAATAATTTGTTCACTTAAATGTAAATAATTTCACTTTTCTCCTTCCATAGAACAAATTATTCTCACAGAATCCGTCAATATGTCATTCATCACCTGTCAAGTGATGCGAAAGTTTATGACCTGCTTTGTTTTATTTTCAAATTACATCTTTTCAGTGCAGAAGCTAAGTTAAGCTTAGTTCAAAATATTTTAAATAAATATTATAATTTCTGATTTTCTTAAAATAAGTTTTGAAAAAATGATAATTGATATTTAAAAGAATTTCAAATGGAGATTTTCAGTTTTTTATAAAATGGAAAAAAATGGTCAATTTTGCTAACTCAAGAAAAAAAAGATTTTTAACGAAAATTTCGGACATGCTAGGAACGATTAAAAAATGTAAAAAAATACCCCCAAAATACTTTGATCTTTCCTCTTAATAATAACATAAACATTTAGACGATAAAATTTTGTTTTTGTCAAGTTTGGTGTTTTTTTCTTCATGCAATGCTCTTTTTTTAGTGATCTCGTGGAGGTACCTATAAAAATAGCATTTTTTGTTCTAGTGTCTTGAATTGTTCTTGCTCTATTTCCAGTTTAATTTTGCTACAAGTTCTCTTCATTAGAATCCTTATGATTAGTTTAATTATGTGGCTCATCAGGCTGATTAACTGTGGAGTTAACATTCACTTGCACTTGGTTTCTTTGACAGTGTTATGAAGATAAATCTATTAAATGTTCTGGTATTGCACTGCTGTCTTATATTTTATCCTTTATCATTTCAGTAATCTTTTCAATCATAAAATTGTCTAAAGTTGTCAGCATCTCTATTACAATCTCATATGGTTCTGTTGCTTTATTTCTCTTTATCTTGACTGATACTGATCATACTTCAGATTTTAATAGATCTATGTTTTTGTGTATTATAGGTTTCTCCCTGTTGGCATCACAGAAGAGCTCTTTGACGCATTCATTTAATCTCTGCTTAATCGTTTTTTTCCTATTATAATTGTTTCTTTTTTAGATTTTATGCATTTTGCTGAAGAACACATTTTCTGTCCTGTTATTTCTGTTATCTTTTTATGCATGTTTGCTATGTTTATATTCTGTAATTTTTCTATCTCTGCACACTTCTCATTGAGCCATTCATTTTTTGCTTGGTTGCATTTATTTCTAGTGTCTTCTTTTAACATCCTATATTCTGTACCATTCCTTAGCATTATCTACTGTCTCTCTTTCATTAGTTCAATAATTTCACCTGTCATCTTTTTCCTTTTTTCTTGACTCTCTTTCCTTGCAATGACTTCCTTTGTTATTGTTATCACTTTCCTTAAAGTGTTCCAATTGATGTTACTAACCTCTTCTAATATTTTGTATTTGCTCTGCATATTTTTGTTTGCAAGTTGAATCATTCTGGAGTTTGTTGTATTGTAGTTTAGACATTGCTTTAAGTCTTTTTAAAAAATTTTGTAATTTTTTTTTCTTAGTTTGCATGTGACTGGGAATTGATTGTTCTTACAGTATAAGGTATTGTAATTTAGGGAAAAAGTTAGACAACTAGGAAATACAAGAATTAATTTATTTTAAATATATTGTTCACTCATAATGCATTCATTTTTATTTTTTGTTTTAGTAACATAAATTTTTAAA